ACCCTAAACATCACCCAGGGCACGGACCCCTCCCACAGACCGGGCTGCTCCAAGCCCCGTCCAGCCGAGCCTGGAACACTTCCAGGGATGGGGCAGCCACAGCTTCTCTGGGCAACCTGTGCCAGGGCCTCATCACCCTCACAGGGAAGAGTTCCTTCCTGACGTCGAACTTTAATTTCCCCTTTCAGTTTGAAGCCATTCTGCCTTGTCTGTCACTGCAGTTCCTGATGCACAGTCCCTCTCTGGTTCCCTGTAGCCCCTTCAGACAGGGGAAGGGGCTCTGAGGTCTCCACACCACCTTCTCCCCCCAAGGCTGAGCAGCCCCAGCTCTCCCAGGCTGTCCCACAGGGGAGGTGACCCAGTCCTCTGATCAACTTCCTGGCCTCCTCTGCACTTGCTCCATCAGTTCCATGTCCTTCTCATGCTGGGGACCCCAGAACTGTACCCACTGTTCCAGGTGGTCCCACAACAGCAGAGGGGGAGAATCCCCTCCTTGGACCTGCTGCCATGACCCTTTGGATGCAGCCCAGGACACCGCTGACTTTCTGGGCTGCAAGCCCACACTGCTAGTTCATGGGCAGTTTTTTTACAAATCATAATTACAATTTACAAATTACACCAGCCCTCATGAGATCCACTGGTCCAAAACAAACTGGGATGACTGGCTTTCAGTGACAATTTAGTGACTCTGCAACTTCAGTAAAATAAAGTTCCCCCTATCCAGAAATGGCAACCCTTCAGAGTCCCGTTTGTAGAAAGTAATGTTACAGATTTGTCTCTTTGCCTTCCCAATCCATATAATCCACCAGATCCAGAAAAAAAACACTACCCTGGAATTTGCCATAACAAATGAGATATCTCAGTGTTAGTGAAAAAAAAATCAACATGGAACAAATGAAAAATTACGTTTGATTTTTCCAAGTCTCCACAATTTATGAAATCACCATTTGCTCGTCCATTTCTTGTTCACTTGGGAACAACTGACCCTGGAACAGCAGCACAAATATTCTCACAGGAAGATGACCAGGAAGAGACATCTCTGTTGGAATAATTTTCTGCTTTTTGAACTTGCATTTCTCAGCTTTCAAATCCTGTTTTCTCTGTAAAAAAAATTAACTTTTACAGGAAAGCACATTTTTAGCTACATGTCCCAGACTTTCAGAGCTTCGAGCTTTATTACTGTTTAACTAAGATGTATGTAAAGACTCCGTTAATTTATATTAAACATCCCCGTGCTGGGCCATCTGCACTACCCCAAGACAATCCACACATTTTGAGTGTCGATTTTAGGAAAGGCTCAGCAACCACGTTTAGGATTCAAGGATACATTCATGCTCTGACAGCGGCTATTGAGATAAAAACAAACAAGAAACCTCCTATACACCTTTACATCACACTGAGCAGGCATGAGCAAGCACTTGGGATTCTTTTCTGCTTGGGTAAAGCAGAGCCACAATGCTCCCTCTCTGAGAGCTTCAAATAAAGGCAGTTCTGCCAAGCCTGTTCCCTTCTGCTCTGCAGCAGCACCAACCCAGCCCTCCCCACCTTGCACCTCACCTTCTCACCAGCATCTTCTCCCTGAACTGCAGTTCGCTGGTTTTCACAGGTTTCGAAGATCAAACCCAGGATGAAACTTCAAGATCTTCATAAATCTTTTATTTAATTAAACATTAAGGAACTCTAAATTGCCAAGGCAGCCCTTTGCAAAACAACCACAACCTGACCAGAGTTCACCTGACATGATACAGCACTATGACCATCAGTTTTCTCAGACACACACATTTTAGGTATCAGATTTCCTGACACCACCTCATTATCAAGTAGGGTACCCGCTTTTACAGGTTCCAGCACTCCCAGGTAAGCCTCCTCACTAGTTCAGGAAATGAGGAGTTCTTAGCCCTTCTGCAAAGCCTCACTCTGTGCCAGTGTGCCGAAAGCTCCAAGCTCAAGTTGTTCCTGGAAGATCACAACCTTCAGGAACACTATTGCATGGCTGTGACACCCTGAACAGGTCGCTTCCAAAATTAACAAAAATGTTAACCTGATACAAACTGGGTCATTGTAACAGATGTAGGAGACAAGTGACAGTGCCAATTCAGCTCTATTCCAGCAGAGCTCCAGACCTCATAGCCCATTTTTCACCACTGCAGCACACTCTCCCTGATCATAACTACACCGATCCCGAGGACAGACAGTGGCTCAGAGGCACTTCCAAGCCAGATTTTCACAGCATGTGTTGGACACCCCATCTCCAGTCCTGCCTTCTGGTGAAGCACCGATGCGCCAACAACTCCTGCACATCCAGGCTTTATTCCTGTAGTGAGGGGATGTGAAAGTACAGCGAGTCAGCTCCCTTTTCATCTGTGGAACTGTTCACTGACCCCCAGTCACCCAGCACAGCACAACCACCCACGGGACACAGCCAGTGCAGAGATTTTAAGCGAGACTTCTTAGTGCAGTGACAGCAGTGAGGGCTCAGGTACTGCCAAAAGAACTGAACTGCTCCAGGCCCCCACCTCCCAGAGCCCACAGCTCATTCCCATAGCCATCTGCAGACACAACGCATTTCCAGCTGGATGGGAACTGAACATAAAACAGTACAAAAGAAAAGTCCAAACTGAACCTCCACATACCCCTTTTTAATATGTTATTTTGCACTGTGTACAGGAAAACCAAAAATAAACAAAAGGAACTTTAGCCAAACTCCCCTTCCTCCTCCAGCTTTATTGATAGTTTAAAATTACATTTTCTATGTTCTAGGACTTCAATTGCTCTTACCATCTTACTTTAAAAACTGATTACAAGCAAATGAAACTCAGTTGTCTAAGTGATATAGTATACAAAAATAACATCTTGATTTCTGTGAAAATGCATTTATTTGCAACTCCTGAATAACTCCAAATTGTATATGCTATGAGCACTGATGTCTGGGTTTCAGATTGACTTTGAGATATTTATTCAAAAGCTTCCCATTACGTTCTGTATCTCCAACACGAACATTCACTGACTGAATTACTGTTACTTTTAAGATTGATTTCAGATTTCTCTCTCTCTCTCATGGCCATTAACAGGCATGTGCATCTTGTTTGTTTACTCCCACTCAGCTATATGCTCTAGGTAGGGCCTGATGCAGATATCACTTGGTGTTAACAGCTACTGAGGTCAGACAATCCAAGGCCATTGTAATAAAATAAAAGTTATGAGGAAGTTCAGACACTTCCAGAATTTCTTTCCTCCTGCATAGGATCACTTCCCTGTAACCCAGAGAGGGTTTTTGCTGGTCTGACTCAACTCTTCCCACTCATCAATCCCTATTCACCAGTGGCACGGAAAGGGGGTTCTTTAACAAAGCATTATACATAACACCTCTACCAAACTAAACATAAACATTTTTGTAGTTAAATGCAGAAAGTTGATTTTTCCACCCCTTTCCTCCTTTTACACGGCAAGTAAAGCTCACTGGCCTGGGAGTAGCCTCTATCTGCCAACCTTTGGCCAGTGAAGAGGATTCAGAGAAAAATAATACAACCATCAATCAGAAAAAGGAGGGGCGACAAAGGAAAATAATTAGGCTGTAGCTTCAATTGTGCATTCCCGTGCAAGGTGCCCTGACTCGCCGCAGCGGTAGCAGTTGACTTCGCTGGTCTTGCTGCAGTTGATGGCTACGTGGCCAGTTTCACCACACCTGCAACAGAAACAGTTCATCAGAGCCACCCCCAGCAGCCCCTCACAGGAGCAATCCCACCCTGTCAAGGACATTATCTGCTTCACTTTCACACAACACGACCTCTGCAGTCAAGACTTCTGGTCCTGTGTTGCAGAATTCTTTGACGTGAAGGAAGTTAGTCTTAACCACAGCCAGAACTGTTCCCAAATGATCTGCTCACAATAATCACTGGATATGCCAAAATCACTGTATGTCAAACACAGAAAGCTTTGGGTGGTTTGGTTCCCCCTCCCCCTTGTTTATTTAACTGTGGGCTGGGTTTTGCCTGCTTGCAAGGCTCCTGCCTGCAGTTTAGCTTTGTTATGAGAGTCATTAGTCAAACTCAAATACACCATGTTCTCTCTCCTTCCTCCACAGAAGGGAATGTTGGTGGGGGTGAAGAATACTGCACTCGGAACATGCTGTCTCTGGTGTGTGCCTGCATTCAAAACCCAGAGAGCACTCTGAAGATGGCATTTCAAACCAATTTAACACCCACTTCTATCCATGTTTCTCTATAACCAAGACAACTTAGTGTGTTCATCCTGAGGCTGGCTGTGCCAGTCAGCTGATCTTTACAGCTGAGCTTTGTTAGCTCTGGGATGACATACTGGGCACCCAACCCCAGCAAGTCTGTGCTGTGGGCAAGCATCTCCTGTTACCTCCTGCAAAAGGACATGGTCCTTTCTCCTGTACAGCCCAAGAGATTTAGCACTGCACTGTGTGGCTGTGCAGAGATGTGCATCATGTAATCTGTACTCCCCTTTGCTAACATGTGTGAAAGTCCTAGTTCTGAGCAACAACAGGTAACTGTTCTAAGGAACTCGCTCCTTGGCCAGAGCTGAGGCTGCATTTCAGCCCCAGAATGCATTTCTCACAGCAGGTGCAGTGCAGCTGTGTCTGGCAGCCTTACCTGTAGCATTTCACTTTGGTGCAGTCTTTCTGAATGTGCCCGAACTCCCCACAGGAATAGCACTTCTGCTCGTCCGCGTGGTCGCAGTCACGGGCCAGGTGGCCGGGCTTGCCACAGTTGTAGCAGCACTGCTCCCGCTCCCTCTTGGGCTCCTTGCAGTCCTTCGCAATGTGGCCACTTCTACCGCAGTTATAGCAGGCTTCCACAATGGGAAAAACACACCAAACAGACTATAAAACCTTGGTAGCATGAGGGGCAGCATGCTTTGAATGGGGCACACCCCCAGCCTGCTCCCAGGGAACCCCCGCGTCCTTCTCTTCAGCCACAGAGCTCTGGCCGTGGCACTGAAGAGTCGAATATTTAGTGATACTTACCATCCTCCTGGAGATCACAGTCCTTGGCGAGATGGCCAGACTCACCACAGCGGTAACAGATATCCGGCAGAGATGAGGACATGAACTGGAAGCCTGCTTGGAATGGGTACAAGAAGGAAAAGAAAAAGGCCTAAATTCAGAATATTCTTACGACTCAATCGCAGACACTGTCAGCTGAACTGACAAGTCGGCTTCACTCTCCGAGCCTGTGGCAAAGTTCTTCCACAGAGGTACATTTCCTTGGTCCTTATTACCAGTCTGTAGGTCTGTCAATGCCAGTTTTACACCCTATCCACAGCACTCAGCCAGACACCCTGCTAGACAACCAAAGACAGCCACAGCCAGCACTCACCTCTGCCACGGCTCCTCATGCCACGGCCACGGCCGATGCCAGAGGGGCACTCTCGGGCCCAGTGGCCACTACGGCCGCACTTGAAGCACTCGTTGCTGCTCATGGCTGCAGATCACCTGTCTGAGCAAGAAGGACATGTTCAAACACCTTCTCCTCCCCCAGCCAAAGGCTACATTAAAATGAGGGACTCAGAGGTTTCCCATCCCCCCAGCAAAGGCAATGCAAACCCAACAGGACTTCTGGCCAACTCAATACTTTTCTGCAGTATCTCATCACGACTACTGAAACTACTGTGATGGATGAAAGTCTGCCTCCACTTTGCCTGAAGAAAGGCAACTTAGAACACATAAAGAAACTGTGTTCTATGTAACTTTCACTCCTTTTCATAGCCAACCTTTGCTTCAAGAACTTACAAAATACTCAGGGAGAGGGAAAAAGTAAACCCCTTTAACTATTGTATTACCAGCCTTAATGTTGTTCTTTCAGTAAAGCACTTTCCTCCTCAATCCTGAGTTAAACTCAAAAGCAGCTACTTATCTGTACAAGTTATTTCCTCCTGGTAGTTGTTATACCTTCTTTAAAAGTCTGCCTAGCAGCTACTACCTTTATTGACTAATCAAGCTTCACTCTAGAAGCTAAGTGTAAGAATAAGCAGCATTAAACCTAAAGCACTGAAAAACACATTAGCCCAACGTCTTTTACAACCTAACTAACAGTTAGACTCAGAAAAACAAGAATTACAATTTGTATTTGTAATTAACCTATAGCTCAGGCTGCATATTCCACTCCCAGGTTCACATGAAAGAAAATGTTTTAAGACATCAGGCTTCCCAAAGGACAGCAGACACTTGCCAGGTATCTCAAAGGGCTAACTCACAAAACATCCTTAGAATGCTCTGGAAGCAACAGACAGACAGGTCTGTCCTACAGCACAAGCCCAAACGGGAAATGGAGGTGAGCAGAGCCAGCCTGCACAGCCCACTGAGGCTGTGGGGAGGATGGGGCAGGGCAAACACACGGCCACAGCTCCCCTGAGCTGTGGGACACTTACACAACACTTCCAGAACTACAGGAAAAGAACGAGGAAGCTAAAAAAGACTCCAGTTTAACTGTGTAAAGTGTGCTTGAAGTTTAAAGTACACTAGTCTGAAAACATGCATGTCAAGCATTGTTTTGATGAAATCTCCTGAAGTTTAAATACCTCAAAAGCCATCTCCCAACTTATTATTCTTAACCCAACAGAAGTACAATCGTTATGTGGTATGTTTGGCAGTTTACTTGATCCTCCTGTAACCCTACAGTTCATACACATTACAGAACACTCCCCCTCCTCCCAGACCATCCAGCATCCCAGATTACAGCAACAGTCAGGGGGCAGAGTCTTGAAAAAAGTCACTACAGAAGCAGCACAATGACACATGACCTCAAGAAGGAACCAGAATTAGCATCCTGACATTTAGCTCTTAAATGGAGAGCATATATCTAAACATGAATTTTAGTTACCTCTACCCCAATGTTTAACAAATTTACTCTGCCTTTTTACCAACTCTTCCCCCAAAACACATCCTCTCTCTGATGGTCTTCAGTACTCAAGTGATTCTTCCAACCACAGTATATGGCTGAGAATTTAAAATACAAGAGATAACAAACTTTAGTGTGTTATCTCTGTAATCCCATATCTAACTTTCAGCTGGACCAGATGATGGTATGTGCCCTTAAAATGAAGTTCTGCAATGAAAGGGTGCAAGAAGATCTCAAACAGATCTAAAAAAGACTAAAACAACTGGCTGTCCAAGCACTTAATAGATACCCTTGATTTTACACATAACCCAGTCTTCTCTGCTTCCTGTCAGTGCCCAAGATTTCCAAGCGTCTCCTGAGGACGCCCAGGGCCAGCACTGCCCGCTGTGGTGGCAGCAGCTGGCACTCACTGTGCCATTGTTTACGCCTGTGTTCATAGCAACCATGTTGACACTGCAGAACAGGGAAAACACAGGCAAAGCCAACTGCAGGAGCTGGGCTCAGGCACAACAGTTGATGCTGCTTCTAATTTTCAAGAGGGACAAGAGGGGGTCTCTGAAACATATATGCTCTTCACTCACAACTCTTCCAAAAAGTGTTCACATTATCAAATGGCAATATAAGATGTGTTAAAAGAGAGCAAAATAGCATTGGCAGCAGCTGCAGCAGAACTGCAGCACATCTGAACAGACATTCCACACTACCAGATCTCACTCCCATGAACCTGAGGCTATGGTACAATGTCACAGGACTGAATCCTCCCCACAAAACCAGTCAGGTTAATACGTGGTAAGAGACAAATGCCTAACACGTGAGCCAGACCTGCTTTACATGCACAGAGAAGTTCTGATATCAAGACTAATGGCAGCTTACCTCCAGTCTGTCTATCTGCCAGTCCAGGTCAGGACCTGCACGAGGGACAAAAGCTCACCACTCACCACCCTAAAGGAGTCTCAAAAGTTTTACATCTGCTTCAGAGTTTCTTCCTTTATAACTGCCCCTTCAAAAGGAAAACCTGAAGTTTCTTTTTCTCTTTCTCTCAGCAAAATGGCAAAGATTACACCGAGTAAGAAATCTAAAGTCAAAGAACAGTCTCTGCAACTATCCTTCAAGACTACTGGAGATTCATTTAAAAACCTTCATCTCCAGAGGCCCCTTTTTCCCCCGAAACTCAGAGGTACTGGAAGGTTACAGCTACCATACAAGTGTGATTACAAAGCACACTTCCCTATCTTCAGATACCTTCAGCACATCCAAGAACCCAAGAGTTTGCCTGGAGTTTCTCTTCCCATGGTATTTCCATCTTTAACTTCTGCATTCTTCCTGTAAAGGATCTGAGACTCAGCACACGTGTGGCTGCAGCTGACACTGGTTTTACCTGCCCCACCTTCTAAAAGCCTTACATGGGACAGAATTTCCCAGCAGTGTGAACTGTAAGGATTTAGTTTCCAGAGGAAGCCAACAGCCACCTCGAAAGGGTAATATCCAGAAAGGGCTGGATCAGAAGACAAGTCCTTAAATGAACAGCCTCCAAGCACTTTGGACACCATTACAGCTTTACTTCCAAGAGAAAAAAATGAGTGCACTAAAAACCACCCAAGTTCAAATGCTCCTCTATTAGTCAATACTCCTCCATTTTGTCATCACAGGCAAGTTTCCAGCAGTTCCTTTTATCTATCAAGGCCACCTTAAGTAAGCCTTTTGCAAGAAAGCTACTTAAGTCTGCTTGGAAAGTTTTCAGTCCCAGCTCTCACTGTTCTGCACAGCTCAGACGTGTTACACAAAGCAGCCTGTCCTGTCTGTCCATGTGTCATCATCCCCGCCCCCCTCACATACCAGAACAGGATTTTTACCTCACCAGGGCAGGAAAAGCAGTAATGGAAAACAAATCACAACTATGGCCTCATGTAGCATTTCTGAGACAGGTCAAATTCTGCAAGGTATAGTAAGGCAGTGCCTCAGAATAAGATCTGAAAACTTGTCAATAACACAAGTCTAATTGTGTTTTCGTACCTTTCCAGCAAGAGAGAAGGTAGTAATTTACCTCAACTCCTTCTACAGAGCTCTGCAACTGCAGTTTGAAGCCAAAACATTAAGAATGAATTTTAGACCTTGTTCTCTATGATGGCCCTACTGCTAAAAAGCAGGGCTGAGAACAGATCCCTGGGCCACCCCAGCGCTTTCCTAGGTCAGATCCGAAGCTTTTGAAGGCAAACCAAGCACGAAACTTCAAAGTGACCAAGTTTTTTTGTGTTTCTTGTAGCAACAGAAGAAACCTTTGATACAAGAAGTTCCTGCAATCAAACTCTGAAGGGGAAGACTGTGTCTTACTGTAGCTTTACAGTTAATATATACTCAAAACTCCTAGAACAGGAGAGGTGCTATTAAGGTCCAGTTCTCACACACAAGATTCAGCGATAGCCCAGCCTGTTTTAGTAGCCCATCCAGAGCTGATGATGGACAGAACTGCCACTAAGCTCCACCCTAATGCTTATTTTACGGCTTTCAGCCTCGATGCCCTCCAGGGAAGAAGTTGTTTTAACAAACAAAAATAAAACTGACTTGGGCTCCTCATAGTAAAAAGGAAGCTGAACTTCAACCCCGAGATTAGTGACAGTTCTTCTGGATACCAGCAGTTCCTTAGCATTTAACAGCCTGTACAGCAGGGCCGACTCTTCACTGTGTTTACTAGGTGCTTCTTTCAACCTACGAGTACAATTTGAAGCTGGTATCAGCAGGACTTCACCCCTTCAATCAAAGCACAGACCAGATAAAAGCCCTTGCCAGAGCCAGCACACATAAGAGAACTTTAGCAAGTCGGTTCTGTCACAGGCCAACGTTGAGAAATTAGCCACTCCTTTCCAGGCCGTTGGTGACCAACCCACAGCACCACACCTGAACGGGGCAAGTCAGCCTGAGACAGCCTGAGCATGGCAAACCCCCAATGTGACAGGGAGCATAGCTCTGCTTTCCTCAAAGTAAAGACTGAAAGGGCAGAAAGGCCTGCTAACCTAAGCGTTAGCATTTAGTTTCAACAGAAAACTCCAAGTACTACTCATTTTAAATGAGTTTTTATTTCCCAAGCAAGATGTAAGAGTTCTCAAACACGACTATCACCAAAGCTACTCAGTATTCAAAATATGAATTGCAACATCTGTAACCTAAAAACCTGCTACAGCAGAGTTAGTGATGCTCCTGTCTACCACTTTTGTCCTCACCAGGATGAAATACAAAAGTATTCTGACCACCAGAAAACATTACGCCAATTCTGAAAGAAATTAGCTTGAAAGGTCAGGAAAACCTGCAGAATTGGAAAGTCAAGCCCCTATGCTCCATGTGGGACCCATCTGCATTTCACAGCCACACTGACCCAGGAACGCTGAACATTAACTCAAGAACTGAGAGGGTAGAAGCCAGGACAAAAGGACATCCTGACTTCAATTACACGGGTAATTCTTGCATAGCTCTGTTAACACAAACCAGGAAGAGAAATAAAGTTCATCCAAAAGTGACTCTGCAGCATTTTCTGCCTACCCATATGTGGACTGGGAGACACCACATCTACCAAACGTGCACATTTTAGCCATAAAAAATACAAGGGGAAGATGGTATCTGTATGGACTTTTAAGCTGAAAGAAAAGCAAACAACAAGAGCAACATGTGAAGCTTTTAACATAAAAGTCAGCCCAGACTTTAGCAAGGTCAGTTTAAATGGCACTTTAAACCTGTAACTCGCAGGGCTGTTGCACAGCCCCAGTGAACTCATTTAACCTCTTCCCGCGGAGGACAGATGCAGAACAGCCTCTCTAGGCAAATCTGCACTGAGGAAGAGAAGACGGACCACGCAACCTTAAAGCTGCGTGGAAATGGGATCGCATTAGGTGCTCAGAGGAAAACAAAGCCCACTATTAAATATGACAACGCTGGATTCTGTATGAGTAACAGCGGTTACTTGAGAACTACGCCCGACAGGAACTCAAATAAAAGGCCGCCCTAGAGCCCGCGCTGTGCAGATGGCACAGGCTGTTTTTCCTATCCATTTATAGGTCACACTTGGATTTGGAGCAGGCCACCCGTGCCTGTGGTCGGAGCGAACAGTTGCGACACCTCGACCCCGTGTCTCCGGCAGCGCCTCACACGTGGGGAGCCACGTGGTGCGCGGGCCGCGGCCCCGCCGATAGGACTTTAGCGGGGACTTAAAATGAAATTAAATAAAATTAAACACAGAGCAAGAAAAACAAACAGTTTAATTCCAGGCCGTTCCCCGCAACCCCCGGGCTCACAGGATCTTTTTCTCCCCGAACTCGCTGGCGCACGGCCGGGCCGCGCTCCCCCTGCCCAGGTCCGGGCGGCCACGTGCGGCCCTGCCCCCCTCCACCGCCCCGCGGGCCGAGCGTGCAGCGGCCCCAGGCCGCGCCCGGGCGGAGCGGAGCGGCCCCCCCGCACCCCGGGCGGCGCAGGCTCCCTGGGCGCTCCCGGAACCCAGCCCTGACTCAGCCTCCGCCGCCGCCCTTGCCAGGCTCGCGGCCACCGCGGCCCCCCCGCGCCCTGGCCCGTCCCCCGCCCGGCCCGGCATGGGACCCGGAATGGCGCCCGCGCCCACCCGCACTTTCCCGCGCTAGGCCACAGTGCGCCAGCGCCATCACCGCCCCGCACGGCGCCCGTGCTGCCGCCGCGGCTCCCGCTCCGGGCCCCCACGGCTCACCGGCCACTCCCTCGCGGCCCCCGGCGGTACCTGCGGTCCGGTCCCCCCACGGCCGCGGCCCCCGCACGACTCAGCCCCACTCGCTCACTCGGTGCCGCCGGTCCCGCTGCCTGCGCCACACGCGGTGTGCACACGGCCCCGCGCCGCCCCGCCCGCCGCTCTGCGCACGGCTCGCCGGGGGCGCACCCAGCCAATGGGCGCCCGGCGCTGCTCCGCGCGGCCAATGGGAGCCGTGGGCGGGGATACCCAACAGCGGGGTGGGCGGGACGCGCGTCCCGCGCGCGGGCGGGGGCGGCCATGGCGACTGTGGGGCTACGCTGACCCGCCGTGACTCACCGCTGCGCCGGGGGCAGCACGGCCCTGCACGCACCTGAGAGCCTCGCCGGAGCTGCCGGAGCCTCTGTTCAGCTCCCTCTGCTCGGCTCTCCCCGCCCGCCGCTCGGCCCCGCTTCCCGCGCCGAGCCGGGCGGCCCGCAGGGTCCGGTGGAACACCCCGCACGCCCCAGCGGGGCTTGCACGGGACTCGCCGCCGCCCCATCCCCTGCAGCCTTCGTCCGCCAGGGCTCCTCTAGGCCTCGTCACACTGCCAGCGCGGCCCTGCCCGGACACCGTCAGGCGCCGGTGCCGCGCTCGGCAGAGCCCGCGCTGCGGGGTCGGGGCTGAGACGGCCCTGCGGGACCGGGCCGGGGCTGAGGGGCGCGGGCAGGCCTGGGCCAGGCTCAGCGCGACGGGCAAGGCCACTGCCCGCCCTCCAGGGCCGTGAGGCGCCGCCGCCATCTTGGCGGGCGCCGCCGCCGCGCAGGAAATGGAGGACGCGGGGCCGTGAGGGCACCCGGGCCCCCTCAGCGCGGAGGGCACTGCCGGACACGCGCTACAGCCCAAAGACACGAGAGGAAAAAAGTTGTTTTGAGTCACTTAACAAAATTTACACTCGGACTCTGTGCCGTACTCAAAGCTCAGGAATAGCGTTCCTGCTTGGTGTTCTGAGGATGTTTACGTAAATCCTCTCCTTTGTGCCTGGGAGCTTTGCAAATGAATTAATGACCAATTATTGCCCCGAACCCACTGGCAACTACGACATGGCCTGGCAACTACGATACACCAGCAGTGTCCAGCATCAGTCGTCATCCTTTTGTTCCAAGTCACACCGTTTATGTTTAAAAGTCTTTCCCTCCCAGTCCATCAGTTACAAGAAGGACCCGCCGAGCCCTGGGCTCAGGAATAAAATGTGGGGCTGATCGTGGAGATGCTTTGGACTGACCTTTCCTCAAGCTGTAAATCTAATATTATAGCACTATAGTTAAGTTTCTTTTATTAGACTATGAGTAACAACGTATCTTTTCCTCGTGTTAGGTGCAGCTCATTTAAGATGGACTTTACGTGAGTTTATTTGGGTTTTGTGCGCTGTATTTGCGTGTCTGGTGTGTTTATAATGAGCTGTATTTTCCACAGAGCTACACCCACTGTGCATCAGCACGGAGGTGTGAAAAGGGGACCTTTCAGACCTATCTCTGCATATTACTCTATAATGTCTGACAAACTTATGCCAGGTCTTGTTCTGGCATTTGTTTCACAGCACTGTAAAAAATATCAGCGTCACCAGCAAGCTTTGAACCTGTAATAATATTTTTTCCATTCATTACTTTTTTTGTCTTTACTGTCATGGTTCAGCATTATTTTCGTGGCCTTGGGTTGCCCCAGATACATTACAATCCTGTTCACAAGTAGTTGCACTTTCAGTTTTCATGGCTAGGGATACAGGGAAGAAAAACAATGTGTGTAGCTAAGCAAGTGCTCAGAGCTTCTAAATCATGAGTGTGTTTGCACTGCATTAAAAAAAACCAATCAAACAACAGATCAATGTCACTCAGAAAGGCTACAGAGACAAAATCACATATCCTCAATTTTTTCAGCAAATCTTTTTTTAAAGTACTAGAACCTGGTCTCTCTATGAGTCAGGAATTTCAGACCAACAAACCAATTGTAATACAACTTTTCTAACTTTTCTTGTGTTTCGCTGGTTGTACTTCTTGAACTGTCCATGAGGCCAGGAAACTCCGAACTTAACTTTGGTGGAACCTGTAGACTTTCTGTCAGCAAAAGTTTTTGTGACTGATAGGGATGGTAAATTGCCCTGAACAAATCAAAACTTTATTTAGAAGAACTTCAAATCATACACTGGACTCTCCCTTACTTGAAATGGAAAGAGGGTACAACTGTGAGTGAAAATGCTTTACTCCTGAAGAGTTACTGCTGGTGGCACATCAATTAATCACCCTCCCAAAGTGAACTGCCTCAAATACAGCTCCAGTTCTTATAATACAGGATATTTTTAGCTGTGTTTCGTTATAATGGAGGAAATTCTCCTCCAGCAGATAGTAAGAGAGTCTTCTAACAGTGTTTAGTTTGTGTACTTGCCCCGAGAATTAATTTGACTTGTTGTATCTTAGTAAAGCTTGCAATTCTTGTTTTTCAGGTTCCTCTGATATTTAGGCAAAGGATAGTCTTGCAGTTAGAGAACAAAAGTGAGAAGCATGACATCTATTCCTGGCTCAGTTACTTCCTAGAGAAAACAAAGGAGACAGAGAATGAGGTAGAAGTACAAAGTCTTTTCATTTCTTGTGTTCAAGGAAAATACAATTTGATGTCAGTTCCAGTCTCTGCCCCAAAAATCCCAAGTCTTAAGAGCAATTTATGAATATCAGTGTTCAGAGGAGCTCAAGTGCAGTAATGGCTGAAGGTAATCTGTTCTTTCAGCAATATATCTTTCCTAATGCAGACAGTTCTTAGAAGTGTTGGATGAAGAGCCAAATGATTTTAAGACAAAATAAAACAACAAATCAGATTTTGTGACCCATGCTGTTGCATTGTTTTCCTCTGAGTGGTTGGGCCTGTGGGTAGAGAATTGTTTCAGTTGCTGGGCAATTGTCATTGCCTCAGCCACGTATTTCCATTGTTAAAGCAAACCTTACTTCATTTTGTATATGGGATTTTTCAAAACCAAGGAGACCTAAAATAATCATTACGGGTTGCAAGTATTCAAAAGAGAAACTGCTTTTACAGCATTGTTGAGTTTAAAGCAATCTGTCAGCAGCAGTGTCAGAACAAGTGGTGGCTGTTTCCTGTTCCTTCCCCCATTCCCAGCCATTCCTTTTCCTGCCAGGAGGCCACAGCAGGGCAGGAACACCCCCACCTTTCCCCAGGTCTGCCCCTGGATGCTGTGCCCTGCCCTCTGCAGCAATGGAATTCCAATGGTCTAAGAGTCTGCCGTCAGCTCTGCGTATTTATTTGTTTAAAAAAGCCACAGTCAATGGAGAGCTGACACAACCCCAGTGAAATCAGCTGCTGTACTGACAGAGGAGAGACTGCTTAACATTTGTCCACATCAGTGACAGTTCAGGAGGCATCACGGGTGATCGGAAGAGACTTTTGACATGTAGAAGGTGTATATTCCCTATATTCCCTGGATGATGCAACAGATAGCAGGAAAGATCTGCCTGCTTCTTTAATGAAGTATTCATATTCAGGCTTCATGGCTGAATTATTTCATAGGCTTATATACAATTTTTATTATTTTGAGAATATGTCTATGTTAAATTAGCTACATACAGTCCTTTAGGTTGAAATGCGTCTGGCTGAAGAGAAGCAATCATACAGACTGATTCCAGATTCTTAGTTCAGTTTGATGTATTATAATTAGCTGATGAGATTTCAGATAATTGCTTATTTAATGTATATAATAGTACAAGTGGTGACTTAGCTCATGACTATTGCACAGATACCCACATTTAGAGTCAGGCAAGAAGAACTTCCTCTGCTAATGCCTGTGTATGGAGATAAAACCTGGATGTGAAGGCACCACGAGGTCATACCCAGCATAACCAATGGCCAGTGTACCAGGCTGAGGTACAGGGAGAAAATGTCTCAATAAAGTATCCTCTAAAGCACATTCTTTGACATGGAAAAAACACACAGACATCTTTGTGCTCTTCTCTTATTTTTAAAACAACCTGTTGAATAACCTGTTGTATGCCAGCCGCTCAGGATGCTTTAATGTCCGTCTTTAAGCTGTCATTTCTTTCTGTCACACTGGCAGTTGCACCACTGAGCCCATTTTTATGTCTGTTAAGATGACTACACTTCTAAAAATTTTAAAATCACACCAATATTTGATGGTCTGTGTGGCACTTCGAAGAGCATGTGGTGCATGGTGGAGCAGTGCTTGATGCAGGATGGCTCTGGGACCACAGACAGAGCAAAGACTGAAAGATGACCCACATAACCTGGAGAGTTAGAGGCACTAAAACATGATAATAATATAGATGTTCATGTGTACATAGTGTTGATGTAGTTCTGGTGTCCCTCTAAAATGGGATATGCAACTGAAGGGGCAGTTTTTGTCATGCTGCTGCTTCTATTTATGAGCAGTGCCCCGAGGTTATCCCTGACAATGGGAGTGCCCTGAGGCACAGGGACTCTGTTCTCAGCTGTCTGACCCGGCATGTGCCACTCCATCTACAGCCCGGGCTGCTCCTGCCTCTCAAATGCTTCTCTCTCTTCTCCCAGTGATTTACACAAGGGATTCCAGAATTTGAGTTCTACTGATGAGGGATCAGTGAAATCTCTATGTGGTGTTTACTGAAAGTACGATTAAAAATATTAATGATTAACTTAACATGATCAGATAGATGAGCCCAAGCCTTCCATGATGCTGATGATTCCAGCTGAGTGCTGGTGCAATTCTGTTCACTTTAACGGGGTGTCTCCTGATCTGTGGCTCCAGAGGAGTCCCAGATCCCACAGCGAAACCTTCCCTTTGCTGGACACTGAGACTGAGCTGTGTAGGATGGATTTGCAAGTCTCCATTTGAGGGTCTTAATCAGCCCATCTTGTATCAGCGTGTTTGATATCAAAGGAACTGGAGCTGGACCCCAAAGTTTTTACCCTGTTGAGGGGACATCCCCTCATGTCTATGCCTGTTAACTCTGGGAACAAAAGACATTCTTAGGAAAGAAAGAGTATGTCAAGACTACAGTGTCAGACCAGACACAACCAGATGCTAGAACAGCTCTTAAGTTTTCCAGAGGCAGCTGTAAGCAGGGAAAATAGCCTGTTGTAACCTGAGCGAGGAGAGCCAG